CACACACACACACACACACACACCAAGAGAAAGAGAGGTACAGCATGGCTGAAGATTATGGGCAGATGGATCCTCAAGGGGAGATCGGGGGCTGACACAGTGGGAGAAAGTGTGTGTATAGAGAGGGAGAGTGGGTGTTAGAAGAACTGATGGTTTGAAAAAAATAAAGGTCTTAAGAGAAGGAAACAGACGTGGAGGTGAAGTAAGAACACAACAACAAAAAAACAAAAGAGTAGTATTCTGTAACACTGCAAATATGCATCATTCAGTGAACTCAATTACACGCCCATTAATAATAAATAAGACACTTCACATGACACTTCTGCATGTCCTACATTCACTCACCATCAATGCAGTTGCATGCATAAAAAATATGCCTTTATATGTCGCTTTTGGCCATATTGGATATACTAGAAGTAAATGAATCCCTCGAACAAAGGAAAAGAAATGGTGAACGTGGAGAAATGTAATCTGTGTCAGTACGAGGTGTGGCACGTTATCAGAGGTTTAACATAGCTGGAGGGGATGTCATTCTTTAGTCGAGCTCTCAGTCTGGAACTTGGCAGCTGATCGCTAACAACATACTGTCAGGGCACAGGTGTTAGAATCGCCATGGCAACAGCCCTCTGGGTTAGTCTGATGTATGCGTCAGAAATGGACTCTGCTGTGGTGTAAGCTATAACAATATAGATAACACATTATTTCCCATTCACCGCTTAACTCAATCCCACATATTATGAATTATCCTGTATTTTTCCACTCATTCAGAACACTGTTGTTTTGGAGCTGATCAATAGTTTCAGGTCAATGGGAGACAGTTACAGACTGCAGAGGTCAACACTGCTTTCTGCCACAGACTCTGATGACGTTAGACCTCAGAGGACCTTGGAGACATCTTAAAGGAGTGGATTAACATTTTGGGAAATGTACTTATCTAAGGCTGGGTGATAACACAATATCAATAATAATCGCAATATAACTTTCAATAATAGCAATATAACAAAAGTCAAATGTATATCTTTAAGGAGGTATAATCCTTCTTCTTCAGATTTGAAACCTTCACTGAGGAGCAATAATTTGTGTTTAACCTCAAAAGAAATATGAATGTGACATTTATCACGATTATTATCGATATCGACTGATGTGAAATTTGTTTTCTTAATATCATTTTTGGCCATATCACTCGTCCTTAGGCATATCTGCTCACTTGTGGGTGTGAAGAAAGAAACAACTCTTGCAACTGTCTGCAAAATATGCTATGACATTGTGTTTGCAGTTTTCGGAAGGATTACGCAAAAATATAAAATGCATTTCTGATTTTAATGCTAACAAGTCAGACTCCTGACTAGCTTCATAATTATCCAACATATGAGAGCTGCATCAATTTCATCATCCAACTCACCCAAAGTAAAATATTTGTTATATTGCCCAAAATATACTTTTCCTTTAATATGAGATTAGGCCTTGCAGGTTGTCCTGCTTGTATCATCATCCCCTAGGGCAACAGGCTTGTTTTAATAATTATATATTAATAATTATTATTTTTAAAAAAACTTGGGGTTGTAATATTATATATCTTGGTGCAAAAGGCTTTTGGCTGTGTGATTTACTTTCACCCCTGCAAACCCCTCTCTCTCTCTGCAAGGAGCAGTACTGCGGCCTGTGATGAAGTACTTTTCAGCTGGCCAGTGACGCCTCGGGGAATGCAGGGAAATGAAGACAAATAGTGCTCTGCATGAACGGGTTTATAAGAGGCAACAATGAATGGAGGTCATTGGTTGAGAAATTATGTTCAATGATATAGAGTCTGTGAAATTGTGGCATTTTAACTTTGATGCAGTCTCAAAACTAAACCTTTAAAATTTATTGGAAAGATATGCTATGTCTATGGGTGACAGGAGGTAGAGTGGAGTGGGTTGTCCACTAATGGGAATTTGTGAATATAGGGGGTGGTGTCCATAAATATAGAGCATAATAAAGTGCAAAATCTATGCAGAGGATTATTCAGCACAGAGTAAAGGAGTGTGTGAATGTCAGACCGCATTGTCCGTGTTTCCCTTTGCTCTTGTCAACCACTTCCAGGATAAACAGCCGATGGCACTCCTCATCACCAGCGCCGTCCTGCAAGAACTTGTCTCAGCCAATCAGTGAAGTCAACTGTTTGCGGGGCCCTGTATTGGCTGGCTAACGTGTCTCGGGGGTAAACTGAAGTTTGCCCTCAACGATGTGACACCGCCGCCCCACTCTTGGATGTCTGACCTCATCTTGCTCTCACCATCCGTCTGTGTCCCTCGTCTCGCTTGCTGTACTTTCTGCCCCGCTCAGCTCGGCAACAGAGAAAATAGAGGCCAAAGGCTCAAAGTGTGTCAGCATATAGAGAAGGAATCTAAACGAATCTGTTTGTTAGATCGATAACAAACCCTTCACCTTTTTAAACATGACGACATTAAGTGCAAAACTACAAAACATTTATTTATCTGTCTTATTGATTTCACAATCGGCATGTGCATTATTACAGGTCCAAGAAAGTGCACTGTCACATTTAGTGTGACGTAGTTGTTCACGACAATGACAACTTCTCCAGTTCGGGGATCAACGTACTGAGTCCAGCTTCACTGAACTTTGAACAGGTGTACAGGTGTTTGTGCAGCAGCAGGCGTGCAGATTCAGGATTCTGTGGACTGAGTGCTGCAGTCTGTCTTTACTCAACGCTGCTAAATTCTTGCAGGTCACATTAACAGTTTCAAAAAGAAAGCTGCAACCAGCATCACCACAGGCCAAACGAACAGCCCATTCAACAGAGATTTAGAATGCTGCACCAATGAAAATAAATCTATACATCTATTATTTAAAGTAACAATACACTGCATCTAGTTCTTTAGGGGGAAATTGCCTTTACTTGTGCTTAACTAACACAACTGCTGAATCTTTAGTGGAAAGGACCACAAATCCCTGGTGAAGACACACATGAAAACGGAGGCTGCCCTTGTGAAGGCTGACAGGATGATCACTGTAATCATTAGGTATCAACAACCTCTAGAACCCACATCGCTGCTCATCACCAAATGAGCAGGAGGCAAATACAGTGGGTGGGATCCTGAGGGAGAGACAGAAATAACGGCAGAGAGATCAAAGTCTCCGCCTCTTACCTTGGGGAAGGTCAGCCTACACACTGCTCCTGCAGTAATACAGGCAGAGAACCCTTAACGATTTAAACCGCTACCACGAGAACATGCAGATGGCTGGATGCTTATTAAGTTTGTCGGGGTGATGTTTAAGCTAAAGCCAACCAGGTCATTAACTGTGCTCAACTCTCACTCACAGACAGAGGCTGCACCCAGAGACGTTTAATTCCTCTGGATTAGAGTCGTAAATCTCAGACACATGTAACAGCCAAGACGAGGCGATGACGAAAATGAGCAATGAGAAATCTAAGCCCATCATTAACTTGCTCTTGTGGAGTCACTTGGACCATCAGCTACTGAAGAGTTTGCTTTTTTGACAAATTAAAGTTATCAAGCTGGAAAACATTGAACG